CGCCGACATCTTCTGGCTTCTCGAGGAGGACGAGGACAGGTTTTGCGACATCAGACTGGATGAGTTCTCGGAGATTGTCTCCAGTGCGGATTTGGATTTGGAATCAATCGATTGGTTGGCCGCAGTGTAAGGCGTCATCGTCTACATTGTCGTTTGCAAGCGATGCTAGCGTCTGAGACTTTTGAATTGAATTTGGGGTTTTTTTATTACGTATTTGTTAGAATTTTCTAAAGGTGACAAATCCTTGAGAAGAGAACTGGCCTGTTGACTAACTGGCTAGGTGCCTCTATCCCACAGAGGCTATATTCGATCAACACGTAAACTAACTTATAGTTTATTTGATTAGTTTATAAATTTCATGTATTCAAAAAGTTTTAGTTTGGTAAAAAGTTCGAGCTTATCTCATAAGCTTTTTTGGATAACTTTTCAAATAAGTCCATTGAAATTTTTATTTCAGCTAGTACAACTAATTTACCAAACACTTTTATCATATAAGCTAGTTTTTCAGTTATAAGTTATAAGCTATCAGTTATAAGCTCAAAATTTATCAAATGTAGCCTTAGTGATGCACAAATATAACCCCACCTCACCGGACCATCAACAAATACGAAAAGCTCAACGAAGTATATAATTAATGGCAATACCTATAAATATGGGCTAAACCCACATAAAGGAAAAAAGAAAGAAGCAAAATGAAAGAAGAAAATGTCGTCAAAAATAGCATATCTCAGCCACAACTAATAACATAAATTAAAAGGTTATGTTCTCCTCCACATCAACAAAACTCAAAAGCCTCTACTGCCTGAGAAACTCTGGAGGAACATATTAATGTGTACAGATAAAAAGAAAGGACATCAAATTATAAACATAGCAAAACAATGTTGTCGGAAGCTTCTTCATAAGTGAACAAAGACGTTGTTTTCCTTCAAATTATAACGGACAATAATCAACAACAACTAGCAAGCATGACTTGAAAGTTACGCAAAAAGAATAGTAAACCCAACAACTGCTTGATATACTCCAAAATTACCTGACCAGACAGTTAGGAGAATCTATTCTCTATTGAGAATCAACATCTGCTGTGTAGGTGTAACCCATATCCAGCTGCAAGCCTCCGAAATAATACGAAGCTATTCGTATTCAAATTGAACTTCCACATGCATATACTTCCTCATGAGTCTCACAATAGACGAGGTAAAGCTAGCCAGCATGTTGCACTCCTCGTGGGTTTTGGTCTCAGATACGACCCCATGTATGACCAATTTGCTCAGATGAGGGCACTTCTCAAGAAGTCCCGAAACCCAGGTCGAGAAAAGGTCACTGATGACCGTCCAACCAAGTTCCAGGACAATCACATTGTCCAACACGAAAGAACCCTGTAAGCCATACTGAAGTGCAGCTTCTCTCAGATCATAACTCAGTGACAAATGGCGAAGTAAAGGAAAGCACGACGAAATCGTCTCGATATCGACAAATTCGTCCTCGTCATCAAACACAACGCCCCACAACCTAAGTTTTCTCAGCTTGGACGATCGTGAGATCATGTGATGGAATTTCGCCCACATGATCGTGAAATTGCTGACGTCGACAATCTCTAGATTATCTGCACTATCGCCGATATCGAGATGGATGACGCTTACATCATCAATCTTCAGGTACTTCAACATCCCCTTACCCACAAGTTCGAAAACTTCTAGTGTACAGTCCTTCAGGTGCAACTTCTCGAGGCTATCCGCCTCGAGTATAAACTTATCCAAACTGATTGCCTCTACATAAATATCCTTCAAAGAGGAACTGCTCAAATCCATTGTCGCCTGGGGATCAGACATGACAATATCGAGACTGATCAGATTCAAGAATTCGATTTTCGGGCAGGCAGTAAGCAGAAGGCTTAGATCAAGGGCTGATATGCTGACATAGCTCAAGGAGAGAGATTTCAGGCATGGGAATTTCTGATAACAGGGCTCGACTCCCGTGATCGTGTTGTGAGACAAAGCTAAAACCTCGAGCTTCTGCCGGCCACACTTCTCGAGCATGTTGATGTTTGGAGTTGTCCTCACGTTGTAGTGCAGTTGGCGCAGGGTTTCTCGAGTGTACATAAGCCAAGCAATAACAGGTGCAGCCGAGAATTCATCAACATCATCCATGATTATGGAGAGGCACTGCAGGCCTTTGGTCTGGAAAATGGTCTGAGTAATGATTATCTCGAGCCTGCTGGTCGAGAACTCGTGGTACAAAGGCCAATCGTCTGAATTGAATGTGAGCGTGTGGAGATGATTCCTCCAAGCCTCTTGCCATTTGCGGCAAGTGGCAGATGCAATCACGACATCACGGGCGGCCCCGAGCCGCGACAGGATGTTCCCAACGACCTCTACTGGAAGAGACTCCATTTCGAATCAGACAAACGAATGAAGACGTATTTGGTCCACTGGCATAGTTGTGGTGATTATCCCGAGTTAAGGTGAGAAAAAATAGCCTTTGTTGCTAGTTAGCCCGTAAGTATCAACTTTTAGAAAATTGAATCATCCGATTTGTCCTGCAAGTAACAAATGGACACTCTGTCAGACAAACTCATTACACAGTTGAACGAATAACCTTGGCACAACGTGATGTCACAAAATCTTTCACTCAGCCAGACTGCCCTTCAGTGATTGGATTGAGATGAAGTGTGTATTTTTTTCTTACAAACACATCAAATAAGGGAAACAGATGGTGCCAATTGAAGCAATTGAGCAAATGATATAATCATATCTATCCAAGATCAGGACACGAAAATGGAAAATCAAGAGCAGGCATCTCATGATCCCAGAGCCTCGTTGTTTGTGAGAGAAACAGGAGAAGATATCTTATCAAACATTATTTTAGATTTTTCGACTATTGATGTGATTTCTTAAATAAAACTACAATTGAATAGAAAACATATGATTGATGATTGAGAAGTCTACCCTTCCCCCAACCCACCCACAAACGGACAAAGGAAGGAAAATTTTACAAATTGAGATGACAAGAAATTACATTCATGGTTCCTCACTCTTCCATTCAATCTCGTAGATCTTTTTTTTAATAATTAAGACAATCCAAATCAATATTAATTTCTAGAAAGAAAAAAGAAATATAATAATATCTGACGAATGTAATATTGTAATAAAATTTACAATATCCACCTACAGACTTTATTGCGCCCAGCAAAAAGCTAAAAAGTGAAAAGCACATAACCTCAATAAATCAGTGAACACGAAATAGACCCTTCATTGTGCTTCGTCATTATCGCTACTAACTCATTTGTCGTTCCAGAAGGCCATATTCAAGTCGACAAGCGAAAGAGTTCCCAATCAGCCATGGTATGTATCAAATTCTATTTACTTTTCAATTATTGTGGACTTGAAGGCTGGTATAATTCAGATTTAAGGCTTGGATTTAGTTTCTGATTTAGCTTTTTTTTCCAATTTGATTTGCATGTTCTTCAAAAAATCTAAATCAACCTACAATGATTTTAAGTCTCTCATTCAACCCATTAGGAGGCCGATCTTCTTCTAATCAACTATTCAAGCACCAAATTAAGCATCATTAGGGGCAACTAGTATTTTTATTAAGTAAACATATAATCCATATTGAAGTATGCATATCAACTAAAGCCACAACATTTTCGTATAAGTGAAATTAAAGAATTAATTGAATGCATAAAAATCCAAAGCATATCTCTCCATCTCGGATTGTACAAGAATAAAATATTTTTCATTTGATTAATGATTCAAATTGAGTTAGCCTGACTCGTATTCATAGAATTCGAATAAGAATAAAATTTTGTATGCGTGTAAATATGGAACACAAATATAATTATAGAAGTAAAAGTATTCTAATCGTATTTGTCAAATATTCCATCCGATTAATAAAATATATTTATCATATAATATTTTAATATATAATTTATTTCATTACATATTTATCATGTAAAACTTATTTTTTTGTATGTAATTAACTAATTATATTCATGGGTTAATTTACCAACAAATATTTTACTTGTATTAGATATAATATATATATATAGGTCATATTTCAATAAAAATATTAAATGTAGTAGGAGTTTTCATATATGGATACTAAAGTGAATCGGATATATTCAAATATTTTACTCGATTTAAATACGAATACGAATATTCGTAAAATTTTATCAAATATCTGAGTATTCACCTCAATTTATTCGTTTACAACCCTATCTACAAATGTAATTAAGTTTTTATTTTCCAAGATCCAAATCTGCCAAATGAAGGAACATGAGGTTACACGAAAGCAATAGCTAGTACACAAGCAACTTCTAATTTATGTATGAAAATGCGAAAGATGTATAAAAGTTGTCACTAAGTGCAGTAGTGTTGCGCGTGGGGTATATAATATATAAGCGTCCCCATAAGATTTTTTTTTTAATATACAGAACCCCTCCTTCAACAACATGCTTAAAACAAACTCTCTCTACTCTGTGACAATCATGTATTTATTTCAGAAAAGTTGCATCAATGACATGTTATGTGTAACTATTGAGTTGAACACAAAGATCATATATGGAAATATATAAGAACTTTGTGCTAAAGAAATTTATTTGGATTTGACATGATGTAATTCACTTAGAGGCTAGAGCTATTGCCATGGGTAGATATGTTTTATAGTTTGTGAATTTTTTATTTATTTTTTTATTTTTTCTGTATTCATGTGACCAATTATTATTACATATTCAACTTTTTCTCTTATTCGTGTGCCCAATTATTAATATATGGAGCTTGACCTGATTATCTGTAGATATTGATAAACATTAATAAAAACAAAGACGTCCCAACTTCTAAAATGGAATCTAATTGAAATTTTTCCAAGAGCCTTGATAAACTAGTACGAGCCGTAAATACCAGACGGCCTTAAATAGAATGCATTGACATCACAAATTACAGCTCAAATGCTGCAGGGATGAACTAATTTTTTCTCGGGTAAAATCTGTGGAAAAACTCTGATCTCTAACTTCTAGACTGCTGTATAAACGATGCATGCCCTGTAATGAATCATATTATTATCACATGTAAACTGATGTATACTTTAGGAAATATTATCAAAGATGCAAAACTTCAGGCCCAACATTGATAAATACATCTGATTATGAAATTATGGAGACTGGTTGATTTATATATCAAAATAATTTCCTTTACTGTTCATTTGACTTGTTAATATTGGATTTCTTTCCTTACAAAGTTGGTTTATTGTAAGTGATTAGCTGATTTGATTTCTTCCCTTTTCAATTGCTCCTAACCTCTATATGAAGAGGATTTCTTAATCCAGATAAACACGAATTGACAGAAAAAAGAAAAAAGCAGAACGAAAACTCCATTTCCGCTTTGTTCTTTCTTTTCATTCCTAAGTTCCTGAACCCACCCTTTGATGCACAACTAGTGTCAGAAACCATGAAATAAAACATAAATCTTTTGTTATTAGTTCTTACACGTGATATCCGATTATTTTGCAAACTACAGATGGACGACTTACCAGAAGAATACAGAGGGAATGGTGAGTTCCATTTCCTGAAAATGATGGCACGGGAAATTGAAAAGGCAGAATATCCTCCAGGTTCGACTTTCAGACGGGAGAGCATGCTGAACGTCTTCAGGAAGTTCCGTATACTGTTTGGCCCGATTTACTCGGACCGCTATCTCAAGATGAAAATCAAGTCCCTGAAGAAAAAATACCAAGAATTCTCAGAACTGCTGAACCAGGAAAACATATTCTGGAACAAGCAGAATAACATTGTTTATGGAAACGACCAATTGTTGAATGAAAGATACAGGGTAAAAAAAAAAAAAACATTTTAACTCGACCATCCATCGATTATTTTTCCTTCAAATATAAAGGAACAAGAATAATTAGAGATTGCACGAAATGACACCATGCTATCCTTGCAGGCACGTTACAGGAACGGGGTTTTCATCGGGGAACGCAACTATGACCTCATGCGTGACGTTTATGACAGTGGAATAAACTTTGCGTGAAGCAAACGAGCTGGCCATTCCTCACGGCCCTCATCAAACAGAGCTGTCAACACCAATAAATTTCATGCTTTATGAACTGTTATGTTTTCTTATGGCAAACACCATCTGCCTTTTAAACTGCATTCGACGGTCTATAACCGGACATCCTTTCGTCGTTTCATTTTCATTTTGGTTAATTATCCAAACTTTCGATTACCCTGGTCCACTATATATTGCATACTTGCATAAGTATGGATTAATTTATCTGTTCGTCTTATGGATGTGAACTATTTATTACATTAGTCCCAACATTCAGTTACGCATACTGCCTGTTACATGGTTTTTGTCAGAAAGACAAGCATCAACCTTCACACTGAAGGACCATAATATTAAGCACATACTCGATTGAACACTGTAACACACACACACACCCACACACGCACACACACACACACACACACACGCATACATACATACATACACACAAATTGCTGTAATAGCTTCGATCCTAATACCACACACACACACTCACACACACACATACACACAAATTGCTGTAATAGCTTCGATCCTGATACCACATACACACACTCACACAAACTGCTGTAATAATTTCGATCTAATACCAAACACCTAAGGGAACAAAAATGTCAAAAAGTACATAAAAGATTAGGGCAGATTCAATTCAAATCAAGATCCAGAAATAATCACAGTATCTTACCAATTTGAAGAAGGCGAACGTCCGACCGCTTGAGGTATGGTGGCAAACTCTTCATACATGAAATTGGAGAAGAATCGGAGAATGATGGTTAGAACTTCGGATCCATTTATTTATTATTATTATTATTATTGGACATTATTTTGTTTAGGGCCTCCATAATGCTTCCTGAAAAAAAATCACATGCCATGTAAGAAATAGACATAGTCTATAAAAAATGCTTCTCAATGCAATTAAAAGTGGACATGGTCTAGCTTATGTGGCAATAAAAAAAGAGACTAAGTCCAGTCTATTTTGGACCCAAGTACAAACTCAAACACTAATCATTTATTCCTACTTTAATTTTTCTTTTAATAAAAAAAACATATTAGATCATTTTTATTGGTTGACATATATGCTAGACCTAGTATTTTTATTTTTGCATTGCAAAGTTATTGAAGTTTTTTACTTGGGTTTGTCCACATCATTTAAGACTCAAGTCCAATTATATACCACATATACAAAAAGAGACCCAAAGCATTGTGGGTGCTCTTATGGATAACGTCATTGGGGTAAGTTCTAGACGTGGACATTTTTGGGTTCCGGTGCCGCGTTTGGAGGTAGAGATGGCCAACGGGTGGGCCCGGCCCGGTACGTTGGATCGCCGGCCTCAAAACTTGGGCCCAGAACCGGCCCAGCTAATATATATGGATCTGTTCGCTGAACCGGCGACCTGAACTCGCCGGTTTTTTTAATAAGAAAATAATAAATAAATAAATAAATGTCAACTCGTCTCTGTTCCGGAACTGACCCGGAATCGATGAGTTTAAAAAAAAAAAAAACAAGACATGGAATTGGCCCTGTATTACCAGGGGCACGGGTTACGGTTCAAGGACCCGTACATGCGGGTCGATTTCGGGCCGGTTCTGGGATTGGCCCGGCAGTCTGGACCGACCCTAGCTACGTCTATTTAGAGGGTCCTGAATTGTCCGATAATATATACGGATCGGTTCACGAGGCTCATGAATTGTCTCGATAATGTATACGGATCAGTTCACGATTTCGGGTCAAAACGGTTTATTAAAAAATAAAAATAATTTAAAATAATAAAAAATTCAAAACGGGCGAACTGTTGGTTCTGTTTCGAAACCGAAACCGTCGATTCAATTTGTATAAATTATTGAACCTGAACCGGGTTGGATCAAAGCACGTTGACCACGAACTTGATTGAGTCAATTCGGCCCGTGACCATGACTAGGTTATGTTTGGTTCAAAGAAGGGGAGGGGAAGAGAGAGATTTTAATGAAGGGGAAGGAAGAGGAAATGAGGTGATATAAAATTCTACCATGTTTGGAATGATTTATTAATAGGGATGAAAGGGAACAATATTGCTATGGAATTATTGGGTGGCACGGCTTATATAACCATCCACAATTATTTACACATTGTATATTGACACATGTACTGCAATAATATACTTTGAACAAGTGTCAAACCATCAAGTTACGGATAAATAAGAGCAAAATGGTCAATTCCTTTCTCAATTAAGGGAAGAGAGCAAAAGTAAGGGAGGAAAGAGAATTTTAAACATTACAAAGGCTTTTAGGTCTAAATCTAAATTAATTCACCAAAAGAGGATGTTCGATTTTAGGTATGAGGGACCCCAAAGTATGACTCACTTAAAAGGAATAAAGCATTTAGTAAAGAAACATTTCATTGCTTAACAAATATCTAGATGAATGATAAACCAAAAGGTTTGGAAGAAAACAAAAGGGGCATATCATTCATCAGTTTTGATACAAGAAGTAAATTACATCATATTTTTTGATTACTTAAATAAATACAAAAAATTTTATTAATATGGTATTATTTTCTTGTTGTACATAGAAGATTGACTCCAATATGGAACCAACTGTTAGCTTCATAGCAAAATTGCATCATTCGTTCTCGGAGCTTTGTTTGGACTCAGTTGAAAAATTGCATTTTTTATCTCTCTTTCATCCACCTCTCTTATGAGCTCTTGATTCAGTTTTCCAGAAAATTGAAAATGGAATACTTTCAAAAATGGTAGGTTCCACAATGGCACAAGAGGACTGGAAAAGCTGCTGAAAATTGTTAGTTATTTGTTGAACAATCATCTCTCTACTTCCACATGTTGTGCCTTATTTCTTTTGAAGCATTTCTGAAGAGTTAATTCTTCTTATTCGAATGGTAAAAGAATGAGAAAAACCTTGCACCTTATATATGGTTTTTGCACTGTTCAATTTCAAAGATTTATTTCAACTAATAAGTAAATCAATTCTGCAATTTGTGATCTTTTTCTGGATTTGCAAAAGGGTTTTCCCACTGTACACTTAATAATAATAATAATAATAATAATAATAATAATAATAATAATAATAATAATAAAAAATAATAATAATAGAAGCATAATATTGACTAGATATAGATGATTCACTAAATATGTGCTTGTCAACCATAAAATTTCTTCTTAGAATCCCAATTCCCACACTTATTTTCTTAACATTTATTATTGCAAAAACCAAACATTATTAACTAGAGACCAACGCCTCTAATAGCCATGCTGAGCATCGGGTTGACCTTGCTGTAGCCACCGTCCACCACCAGATTCATCCCGCTCACGTACTTGGACTCGTCGCTCCCCAAATACACCACTGCCTCCGCTATGTCATCCACCTCTGCCGTCGCCCCTTTGAGGTTCGCCGCCGCCTCCACCCACTCCGCCGCCTTCCCTTCGTCCACCGCCCCCATCCCCGTCGCCATCATCGGCGTCGCGATCAAGAACGGCGAGACGCAGTTTACTCGTATCCCGTGCTTCCCAAGCTCCATGCACAGCTGGTTCGCCAGCCCGACCACCGCGTACTTGGAGACCGCGTACGGGATGGGGGCCTCGACGGCGGTCGCGACCACCGCGCTCGAGGTGAACACGATGCTGCCTCGACCCGCTGAGATCATTGCGCGCGCCGCGTGCTTCGCGCCGTGGAATGCGCCATACACATTCACGGCGAACACGCGCTCGAACTGCGCCCGGTCCGCGTCGAGGACTGACGAGAGGTGCATCGGGACGGTGATGCCGGCGTTGCAGAACATGATGTCAAGACGGCCGTGGGCAGCGACCACGCCGTCAACGGCGGCCGCCACGTCTGAATCGAGGGTGACGTCGCAGTGGACGTAGGTGATGATGGAGGGGAATTCGCGGGCGATGGCGGAGCCGAGGTCGTCCTGGACGTCGGCGATGGTGACCTTAGCGCCGTGACGGGCGAACAACTTGGCTGTGGCCTCGCCGATTCCGCTGGCGCCGCCGGTGATAAGAGCGACCTTCCCCTCGAGCCTGCCACGTCACATGATATTTTGGCATGTGAAATGGAAATTAATCGATGTATATATATTTAGGAGCGAATAGAAACAATTGCTTAAGTATTGACTTATAACCATGGTAGATTAATTACCTTTTCGCCATAGAAGCAATTGCTAAGGGAAAAAAAAAAAATGCTCGAGTTAGTTTGCTTTTGTGTTGGTACACACCGTACACACACTTGATAATTTTTCAAGTAATATTGCTTGTGATTTATAGCACATTGATTGGCTTATCTTAGAGGCCACGTCTGACGACCAGTCAACGCAAAAAATAGTCTGAAATGGCTACTAGTAATACTAGAAATCAACTAAGTACAATTAATTTAGTATTAAATTTATTGTCATATATATATTTTTAATTCAACAATTAGCAACACTCTTAAGGCATGAGGATGGTAATTAATAGTTGGGGTTTTTTTATTTTTTTTTATTTTTTTATTTACAATAAAGGAGGCTATGGACGCCTAAGGAAGAATCGACCGACAGTGAGACACACGGAGTCTATCATGATGTAACCAAACGTCAGTCCCCGGCGGAGGCCGGTCCAAGCGATGAAGTCCACCCGGGCCCATTGCGGCCAACGACGCCAAAAAATTAGCCACCATATTGGCTTCCCGGTAACTATGGAGGATCTCAATCTCCCACGAGCGACGAAGCAACTCTTGGATCCCCCGAACTAGACCACCATGAGGCCCGGTAACATCGTCCCTCTGAACTATCTCCAGAATGCTTTGATTATCAACCTCCGCCATAACCCGTCGTATGCCAATATCCCACGCTAAAGACAAGCCCTGAAACAGGCCCCAAAGCTCAGCGCCTACAATCGAACAAAACTCGATGTTCATAAGGAACCCCTTGACCCAGTTCCCATTGTGATCTCGGAGCACCCCACCAGTACTCGCCATCTCGGTAGACGGATTAAAGCTGCCATCCGTGTTAATTTTAATCACCGCCTCAGGCGGACATTGCCAAGAAATCCACCGTAGAACACGAGTCGGCACTCCCACCTTCCGATTTTCGGCAACGGCGCGCCGCCCCATATCTACAAATGAAAACACTTCATCAACACGCCGAGATACGGGAACATCCGACCCTTGGAATAATTTCACATTTCGCCATCTCCAAAGGCGCCACGCCCCAACCCCAAAACACGAAGCCCATTCCTCGGACTCACGACTAAGGCTACCCACAAGATTGCTTGAAATCCACCCTCGCAGATCCAAAGAGAAAAATTCATACCGGAGGTGAGGAGCCAGAAGGCGGTTCCATGTCGCAGCCGCCCTAGGACAGTCCCGCAGAGCGTGTAGTAACTTTTCCGTCTCCGCCGAACACACCATGCATGCAGGACTAGGCGCAAGATGGCGGCGAAAGAGTCATGTTTGTCAGCAAAGAGTCACGGGCTGCGAGCCATAAGAATTGGCGCACCCTCTGCGGACCCACCCATGTCCAAATGGCTCGCCATAAATTGTCCCGGCGGTGTTTCGAAGGAGAAATCAGAGCACAATAGGCAGACTTGGTGGTGAACTTCCCATCCGCGGATCGACCCCAGTACAATTTATCGGCTCCAGTCGACGGCGGAGGTATCGCTGCAATCCGCAGTAAACATGCCGCCGGGAGTAAGCTCTGAAACGAACTCCAGTCCCAGCCGCCATGCGGTCTCACGAACTCTGCCACGGAGGAGAAAAGTGACGCTGTTGGTATCGGGCCCCCCGCCAGACTAATCAATGGCAAATCCGAGAACAATCACCTATCCCACCAAAATCGAACTGAGCGACCATCGCCGATTGACCACCTAATTAATAGTTGTGCTTTGACGGGCGTAGCATGCTATTTTATTTTACCTTTTTTTTTTTCATTTTTTTAACTGATGAAAAACTTATATTCTATGCACCTTCATGCGCTTTTACAAGTACATCTAATTTGTGGTAATTCTTTTTTGTTGGAAATAGATTATTATTATTATTATTATTATTATTTGAAAATATAAAATAAAAAAAATGCAAAAATGCAATTTTTGGGTTAAAATGCATGCCTCATATAAGATGAAACTACTAGAAGTGCACATAAATTCAGCTTAACTCATTTGATAAACGAATCGAGTTTTTTTAAGCTTGTTTAGTTAACTCATTATGAGTTTAACTCATTATGACTCGATAATAGGTATTTATATGTATTTTTTTAAATAAATTGTACCTTATTTTAACTCGTTAATGTCAATAAGTATGCTGATTTTGAACTTATTTAGTTAACAAATTAAGATCGACTCAGCTCGATAAAAGCTCGAGCTAGTGCCGAAAGTTTGACCACAACTTTACATATTCAAAATGAAAACAAAATTGAAAATCTGCTCATGTAGGCGGGGGCGTTAACTTAATTGGACTTCTACACACTAATAAAAAATTATTCTTCCTTGACAATGAGTATAATTATTCGTTTTTAGATTTGAACTGGTACACATTTGCCTAGATTATAAAATATATCATATTCATACACACATATTAAAATAAAGGAGTTTTTTCAATATAAAACTCAAAAAATGTGTAAAATACCAAAGCGAGACATTAATTTTTTTTTTATTCCAATTCAAGATTTGAATATTATAAAATTATCAAATTAAGTTCTAAAATTAACAAAACTAATAACACAAACTAGTACAGAGCCCGTGCGATGCACGGGGTTCATAATTTTAAGGCTATTTATTCAGACTTATAATTATATACATGAATAAAGAAAAATGTACGGGATATATATAGTACGTGACCCATGCGAAGCACGGGATATATTTATTTGGAGAATATTATATTATAAGATGCAATATTCAATAAAAGTTTATAATACGCAAGAAAATAAAATTGTACAATGTTCAATAAAAGTTTTGTAATATTCAAGTGGAGTCTTAAAGTCTCTTGTACATTAAGACTACTGACAAAATAATATTTCAATCAATGAGTTTCCTTTCCTTGTAGCCAAATTGTGAATGTGATTTGAGGAGTACAACAAATCGATATATAGCTGACTTGCTTTTTTCATTGTAATTTTTTTTTCTTATTTTCTTATAATAAATTTAAAAATATTCTAAAATATAGCAAAAATTAATTTTTTTATTACAATTAGGAATTTTACTAAATATAGACTCTCAATCTATGTTGTTAATCAACGTTTAAGTCTAAAAAATTAGGAATTCTTACCTTTTTTAATCAATGTTTAAGTCTAAAAAACAATAGAGTTATTATAAGTTTTTTTCTACATCTTTTAAAACATTAAATATGAGCATGTTAGGGCTAGCTTATAAAATAATTAATATATTATCTCACTAAAACATTTATACGGCTTGGAGGGAGATCTTTCATATCTTTCGAGATCACCATATAATATTTAATTATTATTTTATTATATAAAAAAAAATTGTTAATAGTGTAGTAGAATTGTTATAAAATTATATGATTTTTTTTTTTACAATATGGATTTAAAATTTTTTTATTATTTGATAATATAAACAAATCTATACTTAACTTTGACAAATAAAACAAATAAATATTTTAGTAAGTATTTAATGTATATACTAAAATCAAATACCAAATATAATCAAATAAGTCAAAGTGTACATTTTTATTTGGTATTTTATTTTTTGGATATTAAAATCTTTTTATTATACTTACCTTTTTAAAATAAAACAAATAAATAAATTAATTAAATAAATAAAATATTATAATACCAAAATAGTAATGACATTTAATGCAGTTGACTTTTCCAGATAGTAAATGTAGTAAATAGAATCTCATTTTATATAAGTATAGATATGATATTATATTATATTGCTCAAAATAGTAATGCATTTATTGCATTGACTTTTCAACTTACTAAATTTCGTAAATGGTACACCTTATTATATAAGTATAGATTCTCTTTACGTGCTTATCAAACGACGGATTAAATTGAAAATTTTTACCAAGAACAGATCCACCCCCATCACTTGAAGAGCTTCTCGCCGTAATTCTTTAGATTTTTCCTCCTTTGGTCGGCGACGGGCCCCAGTCAAACCAGAGCCACAGATCTGGATGCATCCTGTCTCACCCACACCATTCGAATCGGATTGGTGGTCGATATCTAGGGCCGACGCAGCAGCACCACAATCGGCGAACGTCAAACCAGATCCTCCGCCCTTCGCCGGCCCCAGCTACGGTTTGTGTTAACCGTCCGATTGCAATTTTTATCTCAAAATTTTTTCTGTTTTGGTGTTTATTATGGATGAATTTGCAAGAGAGTTTCATATTTGCGGCAGTTACTTTTCCCTTTTGATCAAGAAAAAATATCTGAATTTGAAGCTAATCTGTTTCTGAAACAGTTAATCATGGTGGAATGTTCAATTTCGAATGGCGTTCTTAAATTTGTTGGTATTATCGTTTTCCTCCTAATTTTTGCTCAAAATTTTGCATTCCCTTGAGGATTTTGAGGAAGATTGATTATGCAGTATTTCTAGTTTCAGATATCAGATTATATCGATAATGATTCATGTACAATGATGTTGATATGAACATTTTGAGTAATTACCTCAGTTTGATTTTTTGCGAATGCAGACTTATCACAAACATTTCGAATGATACGGTTGTTTCTTATGGTTCGTTTTTCTTTCCAGACATCGTTTTATCCCAGAACCGAAAAAGAGATGCATACAACAGGCTCATCCATAGAGGATGAGACATTCCAAGTCCGAAAGCTCGAGATAACAGACAAGCAGAAGGGGTTCGTCGAGCTACTGCAGCAGCTTACCGTGTGTGGGCCCATATCCGACGAGGCATTCGAACAGCGCTTTCAAGAGATCGCTAGATATGGTGATGACCACATAATATGTGTTGTAGAGGATTGCAGCTCGGGCAAGATCGTGGGCACGGGGAGTGTGTTCGTGGAAAAGAAGTTCATAAGGAATTGCGGAAAAGTCGGGCATATCGAGGATGTGGTGGTCGACTCGGGTGTTCGAGGCAAGCAATTGGGGAAGAAAATAGTCGGGTTTCTTTCGGATCATGCTCGGGAGACGGGGTGTTACAAGGTGATTCTCGACTGCAGTGTGGTTAATCGAGCGTTTTATGAGCGGTGTGGGTTCAAGCAGAAGGAGGTCCAGATGGTGAAGTATTTCATCTGAAGGTAGATTTGAGAGAGAGGGAGAGAGTAAAAGCAGCCGATGTCATGTAAAAAGGTTAGTTACAGCAAGAAAATCAGAACTTTGTAACTTTTGAGTTTCAGAAATATGTGCACAAGCCAAAAGCATACTTGTTACAAAAGGGACACACACTAACAAGCACAACTTTCAAAGAACTTGTACTTCCTTGTGATGGTTTCCTTTGTGATGGTTATACAAAGAGAGTCAAATTACACTGAATCTTATGAATTGACGTGTTTAGTTCTGTCAAAAAACTTGTCACAACTAGAAAACAGAAAAGACAAAATGTAATGTTAAGCGAAAAGATTAAATTTGAGGCGAGGATATCTTTAAATACGCCACGCCACGTGTAGTGCTAATGGATGGGTCTGTGCGTCTTGCCTCTAAAGATACAATAGCAAATGAGTCTATTTACGTCTTGCCTCTAAAGATACAATGGCAAACGAGTCTATTAAAAGATTCACGCATCATATATAGTGCATGCATTTGTGTAGCAGGGCTAGAACTAAAGTAGTAAAGTGCATGCATTTGTGTAGTAGGGCTAGAACTAATTAAGTTTTTCGAACTAAAGTGCGTGCATTTGTGNCAAGTTTCCATACTTAAAGGATGTGAGACCAAAAGCTGGGCTAGAATTCGACGGGGATACGACACCTCAATAATGTCGTGTTCGAGCCAAGTTTCCATACCTAAAGGATGTGAGGATATCCTCTGTGTTCGAGCCAAGTTTCCATACCTAAAGGATGTGAGGATATCCTCTGCAAGCCAATCGGGGAAGAAGCTGCCATGCACGCTAAGTGGTCGACCGCAAAATTTGCTTCTTTGTGTACATGCTAGAGACGAATGTTCCACTGTCGTTGGATCATTCTTCGCTTAAAACCTTTTTCGTTTCCTTTTACCTGGTCCAGTCGAGGGCGGGTGGGTCCAGTCCGTATCCCAACTTCATGTTAGGATCGGTTTTATATGGAACTAAGAGTACTAAAGAGCCAAGGTGAACTAGGCTTTTGACTGATGAACTTCGCTCAGTTGATCAAGTTTGAACTTGATAAAAGTTTGCAAGTCAGGTTCACTCGTGGACTCATTAGCATGACGAAATTCCGTGAGCACCGGCTTTCTTTATCGAACAAGCTCAATTGAGCAGTGAGCAGGTTTGAACTCAATTTCTTTTATATAACGAACTCTAACTAAACCGAACCTTAAGCTAATCACTCAACGAGGTTGCAAATAGATCTACTCCATAACACACCCAAAACCAAATTTAGAGTGACCTTAAATTTTTGAACTTGGAGATCAAGATTTTGAACAAATTAATCTCAACTTTTTTGTTTGGCAATAAAAGCTGTAAATCAATTCTCTTAAAATCTTAAGGGGCTAACAAGGCCCCAAGTCTCAACTCATATCGTTTATGACACATTTTAATACATTTGACTCTACTTGTTGTCACCGTTATTTTTTAGCATATTTCCAAGGAAATCAGGTCAATTCGACTCTACATGTCGTCACGTGTTTTT